AGGCCAGCGGACGCCGGCAGGGGCAGAGGACAGCCCCACCCCGCCCGCACGCCAGGCCCCCGGGAGCCATGGCCCGCTGCTGCTGCTGCTGGGACTCTGGCGTGGGGCGTGGGATCCTGCCCAGGGCAACCAGCACACGGCGGCCCCCCCACGAGAGGTCCGGCTGCACCCACCTGGAACTGCCTGACGTCCCTCTGGGCCACCAGGTGATGCTCGTTCTCCGGCGTGAGCCCATAGGCCAGTCTCTGGGGGAGGTTGGAGAAGGGGGCGGCCTCAGCTAGGCCCAGGACACCCTCCCCAGGGCCCAGCGTCCCCCGTTTCCCCTCCATATAAGGGCCACCTGCTACTTGACCCTAAAGTCCCACAGGAACGGTGGCCGGGAACACGCGTAGAATGTCGGCCCTGTGCCGGCCCCTGTGCTAAGCGCTCCCTCTTCCTTCAAGATCATTGTCCCCAGGTTGCCAGTGTGGAAATGGAGGTTCAAGGGGATACCCAACTGGCCAGTGTGGGGGGTCCGTCTGACCCTGGTCTCCCCTCTCACCCCCACAGGAATGACTCCATGCCCCTCCCATGCTGTCCCCCCTACAGCCACCGGGGCCCTGGCCCAGGCTGGAGACCCGTGGGGGTGGGAGTCCCCATGGTGTCAGCGGCCTGAGCGTCCCCTGTCCTGCCCGCGGAGCAGGGCTCTGTATCCCAGAACCGGCCGGGCCCCAGCTCCCCTCCCAGAGGGAGCCACGGGTGCTCAGAAACTTGTAGATGATGTAGGCGGGCACCAGGACCATGGAGGACAGTGCGACGCCCCACCCGACCCAGTTGGCCCAGGGTGTGCTGGAATTACAATACTACTAACAGATCGAAACTTGAACACTACCTTTTTTGATCCTGCTGGAGGGGGGGATCCAATTCTGTAGCAGCACCTATTTTGGTTCTTCGGACACCCTGAAGTATACATTTTAATTCTTCCTGGAGGAAGGCGGGGCTCACAAACTTCCAGCACAGCCTCCAGTACAGGCCCGGCTTGAACCCCATCATCTGGTGGATGTCGTTGCTGAACCTGTCCACCCCTGCGCACACACGGGCAGGCCTGTCCCCGCGGCCACCCCTGCTGCCCACCCCCAGGGCCCCGCCCCAGGGCAGCGAGGCCACCCCTGGCACTTAATCCTGGGGACGGGCACCCCTCTGGCCAGCACAAGGGAGCAGACACCCTCACGGAGAGTGTCACCCACGTGCCCTCCGATTCATTTTTCAGAGGCAGACAGGACCCAGGAGGGGCCGGCACATGCCCCAGGCCACACCCTGGGTCAGCCTGACTCGGAAGCCTGGGCTTCCCCTCTTGTGCTCTTAAACACGAGACTTCCCTGAGTTCAGTCTGGTGGAGGGGCCCAGGTTCACACCGAAATCTCTCTCCGATTCGTAGGAAAGGCTGCGAGCAGGACTAACCTTGGGATGGGCCACGGGGGAAGGAACGGTGCTGACACATGGGCACTCGGTCACGCCTCTCCCTGTCCCCGGCAGAGCCGGGCGCCAGCTGCAGCACAGGCCCCGCTGCGTCTGAATCTCAGACGGTGGACACGGCCTCGGCTGACGGACGACCTGTGCAATGCCTAGGCCAGTGATGGCGAACCTATGACATGCGTGTCAGAGGTGACACGCAAACTCATTTTTTTGGTTGATTTTTCTTTGTTAAATGGCATTTAAATATGTAAAATAAATATCAAAAATATAAGTCTGTTTTGCTATGGTTGCAAATATCAAACAATTTCTGTATGTGACACGGCACCAGAGTGAAGTTAGGGTTTTTCAAAATGTGGACACGCCAAGCTAAAGGCTCGCCATCACTGCTCTAGGACAGACACTGGCACAATCACACAGCGTTGAACTGAAACGCAAGTCTAACTGGGCCCCTTGCCTTCACTTTGCTGGATCTGACAGCCCTGCTCTAGAATGAGTTACCTGTAGAGCAGCCACTTCCTCCAATTCCCCTTGACTCGTTATTTATTTTTAAATATTTTTTATTGATTTTTTTTTGTGTGTGTGTGTGTGTGTGTGAAACATCGATCGGCTGCCCTGCACGCCCCCTCCCAGAGATAGAGCCACCACCCCGGGCATGTGCCGTGGCCGGGAATGGACAGTGACCTCTCAGAGCATGGATGAGGCTCAGCCAGCAGAGCCACACACTACCCCCTGGAGCTCCTCTTTCAAAGTGGACACTGGATGCCTTTGGGCCTTTGCAGCACCTGCTGAAGGGGGTTCATGCAAAGACGAGCCACCGGCCAGGGGCCGCCATGGCCAACAGAAGGCCCTCTGCGCCCGGGCGAGAAGTCTGCAGGAGCGCGGGGCCCAGCACGCACCGTAAAACCAGGAGACGCCGATGGCCTCCATGAGCACGGCGAACAGAATGGAGGTGCCCGCCGCGAACGTGTCCAGCAGCGTCAGTACGTAGATTCCGCCCTGGGCAGGGAGGGACGACGCCTGAGGCCACGGTTACGTCCATCACCACACACCCGTCCCCGGCCCCTGCCCCTCTCGCTCAGAGCCCCGTGTGAGGACGCGGGGGACAGGGCTGGGTGCTACTGTACTGATGTGACGTGTCTGCGTCCCGACAAAGGCCATCGGAGTCACGGGCCTGAGGGTGGGTGTTTCAGCCAGAAAAAGCGAGGTGGGTATCAAGGGACTTTCGCTGCTCTCACACCAGGGGTGCCCGGAGGTCCTCGGGCTCAGGGGTGGGAGACGACAGAGGGGGGTGTCACCCTAGGGGTCGGGCCACGGGGTTGAGGGTGCCTGGCCCCGCCCTGAGCTCACCTGGCCCCACCCATGAGGCTGGGAATGTCTGACCGCAGGGAAAAGCAGCACCCGAGCTCCAGGGGACCCAGCGCAGCCCGCTCACCTTGGTTATGCAAAACAGGGCCAGGAGGAAGGTCCCGAAGGTGACGCCGAATGTGAAGAGCTTCCGGTGTCGCTTCAGGACATGGAAGTCGTCGGCCAGGCCCGTGATGACGGCCTCCATGCCTCCCATCTGCAGGGAGCCCGGCAGGGTGGGCGCGGGAAGGAGGGGCGCCCTGGGACCTCCCGGGGTCTCCCACCAACTCCATGGCCGCTCTGGGGAAATCGGCAGGCACTGCCCTCTCCCCAGCCTCTCACCCACTCTGCCCCCTTCCAACCAAACTCAGGACTCAGACACGACGGGGCGGGGGTGGGGGGGGGTGCAGAGTTAGCGCCGTCTCCCCTAATCGACGGCACCTGTCTCCTGCCCCTCGCTCAGCCCCGGGGGTTCTGATGAGCCCACAGGAGCTTGAATGAAGTAAAATGCCCAACCCCCAGGCAAAGTATTTGCCAATGGGGTCTCCTGGAGGAGACGGCCCCCAGCGGGGAGCCCCCAGAGCTGGGACTTCAGGCAGAGCTTCCACCGGGGGTTCTGGCCACCGAGTGGTCACCTCCAGCTCCACCCTCAGCGAGAAGGCGTCCCCTAGGCCACAGCTACGGGCACATGTATTCAATGGCCTCAAATGAGTCACGATCACGTGTTTGCCTAAGTGACACCGAGCCCGGGAGGGCAGACAGGTGCACGCAGGCACCACGCTCAGCCACGGACCTGCCTCTCGCCCCTCGGCAGGCGTTTGCTCAGGGAAATCGGGGTTCCTTCCTCAGAACCCTTCTCAGCACCCTGCCCCGCCATGTCCCCACGGACAGGCAGAGAGAGGAAGCCCCTCCGCCAGCCCCGCTCTGAGACTTCTTGCAAACGCCAGGCTTGACCCTACAGGAGCACACAGGTCTCTGAGGAGGGCAGGCGGTCTCATCCGACAGCCTTTCTGAGTGAGGGCTCACTTCCTTGTTTGCATTTAAATAGGGCCTCTGGGATGGACTGCTAATTAGGAGTTTGAATGGTGGGACTTCAGGCTGGGTACTGTGTGTGTGTGTGTGTGTGTGTGTGTGTGCGCACGCGCGCGCTGGGGGCAGGTCCTGAGCAGGGTCACTCACTGAGCTGTCAATCCCCAGAGCCAGGAGCATGATGAAGAACACGACAGCCCAGAAGGTGGACCCCGACAGGGTGGAGATGGCTTCCGGGTACAGGATGAAGACCAGGCCGGCTCCTGCAAGAAACACCCAGGCCTCAGCACTGCTGGGAAGGGGGTTCTGAGCTGCAGGTGGGCGGAGAGCGTTCAAAGGCCCCGTGGGCCCCAGGCCAGCCCGTGGTACCTGGTCCGTCCTGTGTGAGCTGACAGACGAGGCCAGCCCCGGCCTGCCGTTCACCAGGCACCAGGGAGGCAGGCCCCTGGCAGCCAGACCAGAGGGCAGTGCCTCGCACCCTCCTCCTGCCCGCCCTGGGCAAGCCTCTTACTTCACAAGCTCCTCAGGGGCCACTAGAGGCAGCCCCACCCCAGGCCTCAGCTTCTCTGTGGCCATGAGAATATGGGAAGCAGGAGGAAAGGACACAGGCCCCTGGGTTGGCCTGGCCAGCTGGGTGACCTGGGACAACTTAGCCTGGGTCTCAGCTTTCTCATCTCTAAAGTGGGTCTATTCACACTCTCACGCAGGGGAATTGAATGGAGGCATGTCGATTGCTCAGCACAGGGGCTGCTGGCACAGAGCGGATGCTCCCAAAGCTGTCCTGCTGCAAGGCACTCAGAGGGCGGTCCTGCCACACCCGCAGGACCCGGGACTGCCTGGGATTCCCATGGACAGACTGCAAGAGGGTCCGTCACGTGGGCAGTTTGGAAACCTCCACGTCCAGCCCTCAGTCCACAGCCTGCAGAGTAAGGTGAGTTCCCCAGCCCCGCTTCCCCCGTGCGCTCAGTCTGCCCACCCACCTTCAGTGGCCACATCCTCGATGTTGACCTTGTGCTCATGGGCCATGTACCCGAGGATGGAGAAGATGGCAAATCCCGAGATGAAGCTGGTGACACAGTTGATGGTGCTGGTGAGCAGGGCGTCCCTGGGGGTGAAGAATCCCTGTTAGTTCAAGTCACCTGGTTCCCCCGACGCTGCTCAGGGACCACTGGGCCACCTATGGGATCTACAGCTTCTGACGCCTCCAGTGGCCTTGCTGGCCTGTGGGCCCCAAGGCCCTGCCCTTGTTGCGTGAGGACCTGCAGGTGCAGGGATAGGCCAACAGCTTCTGGATGAGATACTCTGAGACCAGAGTCTGGAATCAAATTCCTGTTGGGGAACTGAGTCACCATCCCCTTCAGCTGACTTCCCATGGCTCCCCAGTGTCTCCCCACTTCTCACCCGGGCACCCGGGAGCTAAGATGAGCCAACCTTTCTTGCAGGCTCATGTCCCATGAGCCCCTGAGACACACTCTTCAGACAAGTCGACCAGTCAACTTGCTGGCCACAAGCTATCACCTGCCTGGTGTTGCTTGGGAGGGGATGGCATCCCCTTCATGCATGCCACCCATCCCGTGTCTGCCTGTCACAGCCCTAACTGTCCTCCATGCTCTCGCTAATCCCCCGTCAGAAGGCAGATCACCCATTTCCTTAGCCTGCCTACAGCCTGGCCCCCGGGGACCCAGTCATCCCACTCTATCTAGTCCTAGAGGGGTTGTGGTTCTGTCCTCAGCCTTTGACAGAGAGCGATGGAGATCCCATGTGTGCCCACATGTGGACTCTGATGCCCCACCAGGCACTCACCGCTCATCCAACCAGCCTAGACATCCCACCCTTGCCTGCCTGGGCTCAGATGGACAGACAGTGCTGCCTGCTCTGAAAGCCACACAGTGTCCCTCTGTCCCAGCTCCCCATCCCAGCACTAGTGGCTTCCGCTTGCTCCTCCTCTCCCCTAGCATCTGCTTCATCCGAGGTGCCCTGAATGGAAATGAGTCCACCAGGTCCCCATTGGCCATGTCGGCGCTCAGGAACACCCAGGTGGTCATTTCACGGAGGAAGACATCCCAGAAGAAAAGTTGACTTGTCCCAGACCAGAGCCCCGTCTCCCATCCCTGCCACCGTCCATCCCCAGATTCAGAGCTTTCCAGAGCCGCGAGAAGGGTCTTACCTGTAGCAGTTGTTGTCAAATTTGTTGTAACTGGCGAATGCAATCAAGACTCCAAATCCAGCCCCCAGGGAAAAAAATATCTGAGTGGCAGCATCAATCCATACCTGAGACGAGAAGAGAAAAGCCATCACCTGCTGCTTCCACGAGGAGGGGACCCTCTCCCTGCCCCCGAAGGGCAGGGACGCCCCAGGGATCTGAGACCCAGGGAAATGGCAGCAGATCTCCGGTCGGAGTCGGCTCAGATCTCCAGGCTTCCAGCCGTGTGCTGTCAGCACTCAAAAGATGGAAGAAGTAAAAGCCCACCGGCCCCAGGAGTCAGCCCTGTGTGGGGTGGCAGGAGCCGCCAGGAAGCACATGTCCTTTCTGAAGATACCATCTCCATAACTCCTGAGAGGGCCGTGCCCTTTGCCCTCACTCCATCTACACAGCCCGTAACGGCTAGTGTATTAACGTTCTTTACAATCAGGACATTAAATGAATGTCCAGGGTCAGCTTCCTCATGACCACTCAAGACCGGGAGGTGCTAAAGCAGGGGGTGGGGAATGTCCGGCCCACAGGTCGCCTAAGGCCCTCGAAATCATTTGGTCTGGCCCTGCCAAGGCATTCGGGTGAGGTAATCAAGTGTTTGACCGAGTATAGCAGGCTACATTTTAAGCTGATAATTTTGTATGGTCTGCGAATGATGTGATAAACACCCAAATGGCCCTTGTGCTAGAGCAGTGGTTCTCAACCTTCTGGCCCTTTAAATACAGTCCCTCATGTTGTGACCCAACCATAAAATTATTTTCGTTGCTACTTCATAACTGTAATGTTGCTACTGTTATGAATCATAATGTAAATATCTAATATGCAGGATGGTCTTAGGCGACCCCTGTGAAAGGGTCGTTCGACTGCCAAAGGGGTCGCAACCCACAGGTTGAGAACCACTGTGCTAGAGAGATCCCGGCCTCTATGCCTGGTTATCTTGTCCAGCCTTCTGTGGGGAGGAGTGGGAGGGTCTACGTGTCCCTCTGGCTAATGCTGCCCCTGACACGGTCATCATGGGTTGGTGGCAAAGGCTAGCGCTGGGGACTAGAGATGGAAATAGGACTGGGGTGTCTAGGTGGGTCGGGGGGCCATGGCACAGGGTAGAGGTAAACCCCCAGGACAGAGCATCATTCCCTTGAAAAGAGGGGTCTACAAAGGCCCCCCAATAGAACCACAGAATCCCAGCCATTGGAGATGGGCGGGCTGGTGGAGTCCTGCAGGTGCAAATCCAACCCGCACCGTCAGGTAGAGAAGCCACAGCCCAGACAGGAAGCTGGGGCCAGAGTTCCTATGGCTGCCTTCCCCAAGGAGCCTCCCCAGTCCTGGCCTCGGGCGGTGGTCCCCGTGGGTGCTCACCGTGGCCTCCTTGAGGCGGTAGAAGTCGATGTGCAGGTAGGCGCTGATGCCGTTGGAGGCGCCGGGCAGCGTGATGCCGTGGACCAGGAGCACGAACAGCACCAGGTAAGGCAGCGTGGCTGTGATCCACACGACCTGCCGTGGGCGGTTGATAGACAGTTGGGTAGATGGTTAAGTGGATAGCTTGATGGTTAAGTGAGTACATGGTTGAGTGGGTAGATAGATGAGTGAGTGGGTTAGTAATGCATCAGAGGGTTAGTGAATGACTAAGTTAGTCAACGAATGCATAAAGGAATAAATAAACAAATGACTTGGAGTAATTAAGTGAATCAGTGGTTGTTTATATCTTCTGAGGGAATCAATAGAGGAATTAGGCTCCTGTTTCAAGTTATCCAGTTGTCCCCCCATCCCTCCCTTGCAACATGGGGGGTCTTTGCAGACACAGGCTTTAGATTTCTCCCAGGGGCGTAGGAACAAAGAGAACAAATTGCCAAAAAACAAACAAGGAGAAAAACATGCCTTCGAAAGTGAAGTCATTGCATCTGGACGGCCTCACACCAATCCTAGATTTATTCTCCCAAATTGGCCTAACTCCTCGGTGACAGGCGCAAGGAGCGCCCTCAGATATCCTCGCTGGGTCCTAACTGCTGTGTTCCCCACAACTCATGTCAACAGCTGCAGGTCCACTACCCAGCCCAGTCAAACACCACTCCACCCACCAGAACACACCACATCCCTAGTCTGCCTGCGGAATCTCCCCTGGGGTCTGAAGGCAGCCCTGCACTGGCCATGCCTGAGGCCCCAACATAGATTCAGTTTCCTCAGGAATACACCAGGGCATGACTAAACTGACCCCGACTGCAGTCAAGCATCAAGAAGCTTTGCCCATGCACACGTGTTCCAAGTCAACGATCGGAGTCTTGTTGAAAGTTCTCAGAATCGATGGCAGGGGCGTTCTGCTGCCTAAGAGCTTGTGTTGAGGGGGAGGCTGTTGGATCCTTGGCCAATAGCTCGCTCATGCTCACGTGCGCCCTGTCTGCACGCTGGGTGAGGGGAGGGGGCCCTTGGGCTGTGTCAGCCCCACCCCAGGCTCCTCTGCTCCCAGATTTGCAACTTGCAGTGACTCTCTGGCCACGAGGAGCCAGACTTGGTCTATCTCTGAGCATGAGATGAAAAGAACAACGAGGGGTCCATTGGTTTTGGCAAGAGTCATCAGCCCCAGGGGAAGACCCTGCTCTCTATCCCCTCAAATCCCAGTTCTTCTCCACCCTGTGTTTCTGTGGAGACAGATTAGAATTTGCATGGTCCCCAGGTGCCGAAATCAATGGCTAATACTCCCAATGAGGAAGACCTTGGCTCCATTAGAAGAAGAGCTTTCTAACGAATAGAGCTCTCTACGGAGGAAATGAGCTGCCCGGGAAGGGGTTGAGGTCCCTGTCATTGCAGGTGTGTAAGCCTTGCTCGGATCCAGGCATGAGGCAAAGGATCGCCTAGGGCAGTGGTCGGCAAACTCATTAGTCAACAGAGCCAAATATCAACGGTACTTCTTCAAAATAGACTCGCCCAGGCCGAAAGCCGAACTCTGCGCATGGGCCACGAAGTTTCAATCACACTGTACGTGCGTCCGCACGTGGTATTTTGTGGAAGAGCCACACTCAAGGAGCCAAAGAACCGCATGTGGCTCGCGAGCCGCATTTTGCCAACCACGTAAGGTGAGGCCCCTGCACCAGCAGCAGCAACAGCACCCAGGAGCATGTCAGAAATGCAATTCCCGCCTCGTCCCCACAGAATCACTCTCAGGGAGGGAGCCGGGCATGTGAGTTTTAACAAGCCCGCCATGTGATTCTTATGAGCACTAAAGGTTGAGAAGCACTGCTCAAGGTCACCTCTAAGGTCTCCCCTAAGACAGAGATGATACAAGCTACAGTGTTTGGACAGGTTCAAGCCTTGGACTGATGAGAGGGCACAGTCCTCACGTGGCCACGTGCAAGTCCCAGCTTGGAGGGCAGGGCCCTCCCAGCACAATTACAGCCAACAGCTACGGTTGTGAGCTTGAACCTACGGTCCGAACACATGGCCTCACGTGCCTGAGTGATGTGGGCTTGATAGAATTCAGGTGCATGTAGTTGAGTAGGACTGAAACCCAGGAGAATGTTGTAAACATCTTGATCACACCCTTCCTTTGCCTCATGGCATATGCTATAAAAGTAAGACACGGCTTGTGGGCGGCGTCACTGTCTCTCAGAGAAGCAGCGTCCCACCGAGACCCGGCTTTCATTCTCTCGTCTGTCTTTTCTAAGCCTTTCAGCCGTCCCCACTCAGGGTCACCCTTGCCCGTGCTGGCGTGGCACAAACCTCCAGTGATTTCTCATTGGTGATCCCCTGAGCTGGGGTTTAGGGACATTTGCACTAATAATGAAGACATCCTAAGACTCATGGGGTGAGGGGAACGCACTGATGTTACTTAAGAAAATGCTGAGGGTGGGAAGGGTTGGTGTGGTGGGGAGTGGCGGGCTGAGAAAAAAAAGAAAATAGAAAATGCTGAGCTGTAAATATTTTAGCCCATTCATCGTTCCTACGAAAATGATGCTCTTCATCGTAACGGGGTCCCAGGGTCACTAAAGCCAGCCCGGCCAGCCTGGGCCGACAAATTAGTGAGAAGACTCGGCTAGGATTACGACTTGACCTCAAACGTTAACAAAAAGGATCTTTCCTTTAAAGACTCTAGAACTCAGGATGGCTTTGAATTGGTCCAGCTTTCTCCCTGACCCCATAACTTTGCCAGGAGTGGAGAGGGTGCTCTGCCTTTTCCCATCCCCCAAAGTGCCCCTGCCGGCATGGCTATCAGTGGTTGAGCGTCGATCTATGAACCAGGAGGTCATGGCTCAATTCCCAGCCAGGGCACATGTCCGGGTTGTGGGCTCGATCCCCAGTGTGGGGCGTGCAAGAGGCAGCCAATACATGATTCTCTTTCATCATTGATGTTTCTCTCTCTCTCTCTCCCCCTCTCCCTTCCTCTCTGAAATCAATAAAAATATGGTTATAATATTTTTAAGTAAATATTAAAAAAACCACACTGAGCACTGGCAAGGGGACTGATGATAGGGACAAAGAGGGACAAGGATCATTTATTGAGCAGCTTCCATCTGCCAGCCCTGCACTGGGGACCCCTCGCTCCATCTTCCCAACAGCCCCAGAGGCCGGCACGATCAATACTTTGCAGCTGGAGACACTAAAGCCAAGCGAGCACCACTCACCCCGAGGTCACCCAGGAGAAGGGAGAGCACCTGGACTCCAGCCCGGGCGGTCTGACCACCAGGCCACGTGCTCACTCACTCAGTTGTATATCTGAGACCCAGGTTTAACTCTGGCCCTGCCAACGGTCACTCTGAATCCCCCGTCCCTCTCTCGGCCCCCATTTCCCCATTTCTACAAGCAGATGGGCGCAGATGGCCCCTAAGTATCTTCCAGGTCCACAGGCAGGTGCCAGCTTCCTAGGCTTGTGGCTGCTAAGAGCCAGGTCAGCCAAGGGCTGTGAGATGGGGAGGCAGGCAGGACCCCCGGATGGCCAGCCCGGCTCCCTGGGGGCTACCTCCTGAGTCAGACCTCCACCTTCTGCCCTGAGGTGGTCCATGGGTCAAGC